ATTAATTGTCTGAGCACTTAGCAAGGGAAAAAGGAAACTATTCTCCTATTTAACTAATACTAATACTGCTATAACTAATATTACTTCAACTGAATTAATTGAAACTTCCAGACTGGAAGGGCATCATGTCCTGTGTGGATAATGGAGAACAAAAAGTTTGAGTAAAGATTGATTAGCTGAAGTTACAAATCTTGTATATGTTTTATATATTACATTTTGTTTGTTTCTGAATGTTTTAGCAAATCTAAAATTTAAGTAGCTCTATAGTATATTCCTACAGAAAAGTACAGATGACCTAATTATACAGCAGCTTCGAAGGACTTCAGTGGCACATCAGTGACTGATTCTAGAACACATTTAGTCCTGTAGACATAAGGTGCATAACCCATTTGTTTGAAGAAATAATCATTATAAATGTTCATCATCCAGTGTCAAAACGTTGGTCTAATTCGAGGCATCTAAAGTTTAGTGTCTTTGTCAGAAAAAAATCCTAATTACCCCAGTAATCTGGCAAAATCATGATTTATCCAACTAGTTTAATGAAGGGAGCTATGCTTTTTCCGCAGAGTATAAACAGCTTGTCATTCAGCAAAGCTGTAGTTTCAGTTAAAACATGGAAAGAAAAGACTGTAACTCTAGTTTATCAGAAGCGATTAAAAAAGTGTAAGTAAGCTTCATTTATGCTATTCCATACCTAACTGTAATGTCTATGCCAGACCCACACACGTGCCCTGCAAAGTGCTCTGGTTTGCCTTTGAGCAGCACTGCTGAGCAATCGGCAGGAATATGCAGCCACCTCGTCAAACAAATTGAGGATATTTAGCTGGGGCTATGAAAGATTTTTGTGCTGGCAGTGTAGGAGAGCAGCAACTCAGGGCTGAACAATTGGACTTTTATTGACACTCCCACTTGCTTTAGTCGTATAGTTTTTGCCTACCTTTTACATATTAAAATCCTAACCTGTGATATGTTGAAAGTCCCAGTTGTGTGATATACTGTACTGTGACAGAATTGAATATCAGTGCTGGTCAAATGTGTATTCATTAACCACACATCTACAATTTGAATTCAGCTGTTCTTTTGTCTTTTTAGTTAATGTGGTCGGAGCCTTTATTTTCTGCTTTTAATGTCCATCTTCATCCAAATAATTGTCAGGCTTCTAAGATTTTTGTTTTGATGGGCTCTTTAACTTTCCAGAGTTAAAGGACTGTTTGCATTATGGTAATATGCATCACATTACATTTGGATATGCTTAATTGGGAGATAAATGCAAAATGTATCTTATGTTGAAGACAAGAACTACAGTTCAAGTATGATTGAAGAAGTAACTGTAGATATTCAAAAGAGCAATAAGAATTAGTGTAAAGATTCTGTTAAACAAAAGGGCTATAAAAGTCACCTTTGCCTAACCTTTGTTTGCATGCAAGGGATTGGGATCAGGAAAACAGCTACCCAACCTCCTAGAGCACCGTGATTTAGAAGGAGAAGATGAGTTGGTGCTGAGGGTACAGTGACATTTGTATGGAGGACTAGCATGTGCATTAATCCCCCTGGCCTGCCTTGCTTCTCCTTTAGCTTTCACTGAAACTCTCTGTTTCGCTTTGGTCTGTTCTGTATCCTTTCTGTCACGTCTTCCAACACCCAACATAGGAGAACGTCACATCTTCTGGCAGATGAGCTTCAAGGAGTCTTAACTCCCAGCTGAGTAATACGATTCTGCTGCTGAAAGCAGCTGGTCTCAGCTGCTCTTGCTGCCAAGCAGTAGAGATATTTCTGAGAGTTCACATGTACCCCTTTGTAATGAGCCCAGATTAAGCCCCTTTGACTATGAGTACCCAAAATCCTAGTTTTTTCTTTTGCTTTTATTTTGGGCAGAAAAATGTATTGAAAACTTACCTCTTAAAGGGAAGTGAGGGCAGGGACAAAGGATATGTTTCATCACATCCTGAAAATGGGAGAAAAGAAGGGAGTCCAGAAACCTAAAAAGTTAAATCCAACTTAAAGTTCTGTTACTTAGTATCTTTGGGATTTGATGGCAACATTCCCTGAAGAATACAGCAATCTATTTGTCACTAAAATGTAGCTAAATTTAAACCGACAACTATCATAGTGATACTAAAATATTTTTAGATTTCTGTGCAATACTGTATGTCCTGGTAACGATCATGGGGAAAATAAGTTGTAAATTCTGAAGTACAGTAGTGTTTTTACCTTATATAATTTTATTTGCTAAGCAGTTAGCTTTGAACCATGTGTGTTATGTATATTTAGTGTTGCTATGAAATTGTTCAGGTGTGAAGCTTCAAAGAGTGAGGGTTTCACAACACATATTCCTGGCCCTAATTAATGTTAGTTTTAGAGTAATTGCATTGAGTCAGCCAGTTTAGTTTCAGATTATGGCCTAAAATGGATTAGAATCATCAGAGTATTAAAGGATTTTTGAGAAGATGGGGGTTTGAAGTCGTACACATTCTGCAGTGTGCAGTGTAATGAGATGAAGTTACACATGTATTAATGCCAGTTAGTTTAAAGGGATAGATGGAGGTTGAGAGCTGGGGAGATGATGGGGCAGGGCTGAGTCTGTATTAGAGAAGTTGGTCTTTATCTGACTCTACAGCTGGTGCTGATTTTTGCCTTAAAAGGCTTGCATTTTGCCTGCATATGTATATTAATGCATTTATCTGCTCTATGCAGTAGCACATATGGAAGTTCTTAGGAAAAATTTATCATGCAAAGTGAAATGCGTACATCCCAGTGGGCACAACTGGCAGTTAACTTGTGTGCAAGGATATTATGTACAAATCAGGTTCATGACTTTTACTCTCTATCCTTCAGGGAACAACCCATCTTCAGCACCCGAGCTCACGTCTTCCAGATTGACCCAAACACTAAGAAGAACTGGGTTCCCACCAGCAAGCATGCTGTTACTGTGTCCTACTTCTATGACAGCACAAGAAATGTCTACAGGATAATCAGTTTGGATGGCTCAAAGGTAAGTTTTATTTCAGAAAACTTGTTTGCCTCATCAATTTTTGTTATTTATTTTCTAGTCTGATGTCCTTCATGTATCTTCTCAGATGCTTTTGACATTATCTGAGTAACAGATTACTGACATGTTAAAATGGTAACATTGCTTCATTACATGCTTTAAGTGTTTATTCGAAAATGCTGTTTTCCATGTGTTCACATATACTTTGATAAATCAATTGCCGAATTTAAGTGATGACCTGTTACTTAGTTAATATTATGAGCAGGCTAAAAGACATTCCCTGTGAGATTCACTAAAAAGTACAAATAGAGTTACAATAACCTGTTTTCATCTCCGCATTCAATAATCTGTCAATATTATTGTCGTCAGCATTATGAAGGACATCTGTTTAGTGCCCATAATCACTTAGTAAATCCTTGGTTACATAATCTTCCAATTTTTGCTGTAGAGAATGTGAGGATTCCCTCCTAATAAAGCTCTCCATGGTAAGCTTTTATCAAGACTCAGTTGGTTTGCGTTTGGGTTTTTTAGGGGGTGTTTTTCTTTTCTTTTCTTTTCTTTTTTTTTTTTTTTTTTAATAATTAGGAAGGATAATGTGTTGAGCTGCTGTTGTAAGAAACCTTGTCTAAGAAATTAATTTGATGTGGAGAAAATACTTGACTGTTTCCTTAAGTTCTATCCTAAGTGGGTATAAAAACAGTAACTTTACAAACAGAAAACTTACAATAAGAACATTAAAGATATACAGAGTGTAATCAAAAGTTGTAATCCTTTTGATTTTCATTTGCAACTTCTGGAGGTGCATCAGTTCATGATGGTTGGAACTGAAATACTCTGTTAGAGCATAGCAGTATTCACAGAGATTTTGAGGCTATTTATTGAAAGCTGAAAAATATTACCCTGCATTTTTTTAAAATATCCGGAGTGTTGCTATTTTAAATGAGGAATGAGAATTTCTATCGTAAAGAAGTATATAGAAATAGATCTCATAGTCAAAGATCTCCAGATGATACTACTGTAGGTGATTGAGACTCTGGTATCAAAGCCTACCAAAATTTTTTCAAGTTTAAGTCTTACTTTGTTTCTTCCCTTCCCAGCCTTCCTTCAAATGATTATTTTAGTGCTGTCAAATAATTAAAATACCTTTTGTGTGACTGTTTATAAATAAGGACTTTGGGATTGGAACTAGATGCTGTATGAAATCAAGACTACCAGTTGTAATCTGTAGCACCTTAACTGATCTGCGCAGTTTACAAAATCCTTATTCTGGTATCCACTGGGGTTCCTCTGCCTTTGTCCAAAGCTGCAACTCCTGCAGAGTGGCTGCTGAGTTAAATTGTCAAGCAGTTGTTCGTTTATTTATTTGTTCTTTTGTCTACTGCAGCATTTCCTTTACATTTGCAGTACTATTGGCAAGGCATATTGATAATGCAATCTATCACTTTTATTTATTCTCTCTGTGATTGCCCCAATCCTAATAATGTCTTCATCCAAGTGTCAGATGTCTGACTAAGATCTAGGATCCCAATCACGATTAAGAAAGACCCATTGTTTTAGGCATCACAACGCTGCTCTGAAACATACACAGGTGAATAGCAGAGGGACCCATGAAAGAATTTTAAGGAGGTTTTCAGCATGATTCCCAGAGATTATTTTTTATTTTTCATTAAAGCCTCATCTTTTTTAACATGTCTGCACATGTACAATATAGTATGTACAAAGGGATAAATATAAATATAAAGCATTTTTAAGTTTGGAGTACATCCAGATAGTGTCTCTGCTATATGCCATACAGCTGGGTGTCAGTAATGCTACTGACATCTGGGCTTGCAATGCCTTATATTGTTGATTGGTCAGACAGAAGCGTTAAATTTGCCAAGGAGAAAAAGCTATGCAATTTAATTCTCCAATTTTAAGTTTTGAAATGAAACTGAATAAAGATGATTTTGTGGGTTTTTTTAAAAAAAAATTTTACATTGAAAATGTAAAATGTCTCAAATACACATGTTGCCAGTGGCCAAAACCACTTGTCGAACCATACTGGTTTTGAAGCTGTCGTACCCCTCCCTCGGAGGGAATAGGTCTCCAACTAGGTTTTATGGTATAGCTTGGTGCTGGTGGGGTTTACAGCACCCTGTGGGTTTGTACGGTGGAGAGAATGACATGCATGTGGATGCTCAGTTACAGCAGCTCAGGCACTGAGCAGTGAGTAAGTGATCACAACTGACACATATGTTCACTTAGACTGTAGTAAGAAAAGTTTGAGAGAGATATACTTTAGATTTGCGTGATAATCCTATTTGTGTCCCACGCCTTCCCTCTCTTCAGGTCAGTGGGTTTCAGTAGATTCCTGGATAAAATTTAATCTCCCTACTGGTTGTCTAAATAGATTTGCGTGATAATCCTATTTGTGTCCCACGCCTTCCCTCTCTTCAGGTCAGTGGGTTTCAGTAGGATTCCTGGATAAAATTTAATCTTCCTACTGATTGTCTAAAAGTCATTAGATCTTTCTTCTTGAAAGCAAAGAGACATTTTTAAGACATGATCTTCACTCACCTCTGAGGGATGCTATTGTACATTGCAGATTCCCACTTGAATTTGCTTATGGGTGTCTTTGGTGTATTTTGAGAGTGAGGATTTTTTTTCTTATACCATATCAATGGGTCTATGAGCCAGATTCAGCTGAGATAGGACTTATAGAAGCAAGTTCTGCTTATTTTTAACGCGTTCTGCGTAATGTTGTTTTCTGAAGCCACAGTGTCCTCTTAAAATACCTTGCACAAGAAAGGATGCATCTCCTTCTAATTTGACTCCAGAAAATGTTCTAGGACCATAAGGTATTTAGTGTACAGGCCATATTTTATAGTCGCATTACAGTATCTGGATCCCTGCTTCCCATGGCAGGGGGATCCTGATGCAAATAATCTGATAGAACTCGAGGCTGGTTTCTGTGACCTCTTGAGTAAATATCTTTTATGTGACCTTTTTCTCCTACCACTCTAGGAATCAAGAGAAAGCCTGAAAAATAAAATTTCTTATGCAATATGACGTGACAACATTGAGCAGTTGTTGCTAAGACTTTCAGTTCTCATTAATTATATAGTCATTTCATAGCTCCTCGGAAAAATGTATTTTAGTACTTCTTTCTCCTAGGTGATGGTTCTTTCTCCTAGGTGATGGAAGGAAACCTCCATTATTTCTCCAGTAACACTGCACACAGACACTAGGATTATTCCCAGAATCCCACTGTCTTTTCCGTTCAGACACTGAACTGGCAGTCGCTGAGAAAAGAAAGAAGGTCAAGTAATGTGGTTCCTGCAGTACTAGTTAACTGTCTGATATTTTTTTCACAGATGCAAGATAGGAAAAAACCTGTAATAATTTGTGCTCCTCTAAAACAAGAGAAGACTCTGGAAAAGGGGAGTGGTTTTCCAGTGTATAGGTTCCACGAGCCTTGTATATATTATTTCTGAGTCAAGTCTCTCATCAGTGTTACTGCAATAGATGATCTTTACATTTTAATGACTGTTGTAAAATAAACACATTAAAGTGATAACCTGTTTAATGCTACATACAGGTTTTAAGTAAGGCCTGTAAGCACAGGCCTTCAGTGATCTTCCTCTGAAGAAGTTAAAAAATACTGTGTGTCTTAATTATTATTGCCATCAATTTTAGCACAGGATGAGATCATATTTGACCACTGCTGTGTATCTTGCAGCTGTTGGGTTCGCAGTGAGTAGAACAAACAGCTAAGATGCATGCCCTATTTTCTCATAGCTAAACTAATATGAAAGAAAAACATGAAAGCTATTTTATTATTCCAACAAAATCTAACGATAACAAAATCAGTTTGCTTCAAAAGGTAAATGTCTGCCTGTCAGATTGACTCTGTTCTGTTTTTAAGATATTCTTGTACATTTGTATTAACAACATTCTAAAAAAGTTGGTGAAATATTTGACACTTGCTATACTGATAACTCTGCAGTGAAATCTGGCGTGAAGGAGAGCAGTTAAAGCAGTACCTCTTTGAGTAGACAAGACAGGCTTAATTATAAATTCTAATTTAAAAAATTAATGTTTTTTCTTTTTAAGCTGAAGATATGAAGGATACATATCTAGTATTTTCCAGAAGTAGCTGTAGTATGCTCTAGCATTGCACTTTTTAAAAGCATAATTAATTTAGCACGTGAGAGATCTAGCATACTAATGCTTTTAATACAGAGAGGTTCGAAAGCCTTGATTTCCTTGTAAAATTGGTAAATCTAATGAAAGGACTCTTTTTTGTATCACTGGGATCTGAGTGTAGTCTTCTGAGAAACTTGCTGTCTTTGGACTAATACTGTTCACTGGAGTGGAGCCGCCTCATTTTTCTCTGCTGGAAAAATAAAGGGAAGAGTCACAGCAACTCTTTCTCAATACAATTTTTTTTTTAAAGTTTTCTTCCTACCTTTCTGCCTTGCAAGGAAGCAATTTGACAGTCACTGTAACCCAGCCTAAATGCAGACTGCTGTCAAAACAGATATCCCATTCTGGTCCAGACAGCCTGTTCTGGGTTCTCTCTTGTGCAGCCAGCCACGTGGTCAGCTGAAGCAGTGAACAGTCTCAGCTAAAAACTGGTTGGTTTCTCCAAGGTTTTTCACTGGGTTAATTTGCAACCAGATATACCACTGTCACTGCAGCAAAGGCCAGTCCTGCAGGCTTTAAACCTGCCTGTTGCTTGGAGGTCATACGACTCTGTCCTCGGAGTCGTCTTCTGCATTGAGGAAGTTACATCCATGACATAATACGCACACTCTCAAATCTGTGATGTAAGTTCGAATTAATCAAGCAATGTATGGAAGTAGGGCTTAAGCAAGCTAGACAACATAGCTGTAGCTTGAGTTGGGAGGAAGACTCTTTTCTACACTGCCCCCAGGATATTTAATTTCAAATATATTAATGTTGACACCTTCCACAGCAAGAGAGATTGAGCATTAAGTGAACTTGCACAGCTCTGTTCTGGGCTTCCACCAGGTTATTTCAAAAGTGGGCTTCCAAGCACTAACAGTGCACAAGAAGACAAGAAGCATACAAGATAAAAAAAAAGCTCCAGAACACCTCCTTTCCAAGAAGTCTACCTCCTGGTCTCACATTATCTCTTCTGTCCTGTGTGGCATAGACAGCCGTTTTCGATAAAGTCAGTTGAAGGCCATAGCGCAAGTGCAAGCTTGCTGGCTTTATTTGGGCTCCAAACCTTATGCCTAAAGAAAGGAGAATGATGTTTGAATTACCAGTGACTTCACTGACCAGATTCTCCTGTATGAAAATCTAAGGAGACGTTTTGTGGGCAGTTAATGCTGGGGATGGTTCTCCAGTCTCTGATCACACAGCAGATCCTGTCCTTGACCTGATGAGGCTTGTTGGTTCAAATGTAAGCTTTCAGGCATTCCAGAATTTTCCGGGAGTTGTTCACAATGGTAGCCAAAACTTGCATTTTGAGGCAAAGGTTATCAGAGAGAACCGCCTGTTTGATATCCTCATCTACATCCAGATTTGCTCTTCTAATTTAATGTGAATATAGTGGAGCTGCCAAAGCCACTGCAGAAGATGCCATTTTGTTAAATTTATCTGTGCTGCAGTTTCTTTGCTTGTCTTTCTGCATGTTGCGATGCAATGTGTTCTTATGAACTTTCTTGCAATACTCCTCTCCACCACTTCATCTGAGAATCACGATAAGCACATTGGAGCTGTTTGTGGGCTTAGCCGGCCCCCCAGCTGTAAGTTTTTCAGGCTTGCCCTGTAGAATTCAGAGAAGATTTTATGTTGATGCTAGCTGTGCTCCAGTGCTAACCAAGTCTCAGTAAAAGCAAAGGGTGCTAAATGAACTTCGTAACTACTCATTTTAATATCCACCCAGAAGGTCATCTTACACAAGTAGTATAGACTGATTTTGACTTCTAGAAGATCTCGGGCTTGGGAGAGCAGTACTTGGTCTCTCTGATGTTGAAGTTTGTCACCATCCTGAGAAAACGCTGTTATTCTCTACACATCTGTACAGTTCCTGCTATTCAAAGAATAAAAGAAAGATTTCATTATTTACAACAGAGAAGATGGTTTGGACCCTGTGGATTTTGTAGCTGCTCTAGCACTCTTCGGTAATGGCTGGCTTTTAACCTGCCAGAAGTAAGGTAGGGGTTGTGGTTTCATGGAAGCAGGAAACATGCGCACTGATGTTCAAAAGATTCCCAACTCAGTACTGCAAGACAATTGCAGTAGGACACGTACTGACAATAACCGTTGGAGCACAGTAACTGGCATACAAGAAAGATTCTTGCTGAATTGTTCTGCTCACAGCGTGTGCAATTTTCTGGGAAGTTTTAAGGACGTTCTCTTTCACATGGGTGTTACAAAGCACCAGTGATTCATGAAAAGGACTGTGAGTTATTTAACAAATGTGGCTGAAACTCTTAGTAGCATCAGACAGAAGAGAAAGCGTGCCTGCATTTCACTTCAAATACACATATTTTTGGGTTTATGGCTAGTTTTTCTTGTTCGTGTTGGCTGGTTTTAAACTGTACTAACCATCGGTTTTTTAGTTAGATGGAACCCGTTGGTGTCACTGTAAGACTTTATCCTGACATACTTTAAGTCAGCTGGACGGTTCCACGTCGCAGATTTAGAATATGTTAGACAAACTTTAATGTGATGAAAATACTGTTAAAATCTGTGGTAAAACTTCAGTTGCTTTTAGTGCAACCAGCATATCATCTAAGAGTTGTGGTTTTTTGTTTACATTAGCAGAAGTTGTATGCTGGAGGATGTGCTTCTTCCATCCTGTGTATAACAAGAACTAGAGAATAAAAAATGATTCTAAGACTAGCTCTTCTTCTATAGGTGATGTATGGCCCTGTCACTGTTAGGCATGCTTGTATGTGTATAAAGGAAAACCAGATTCTTGTTATACAGAAACGTAAAAAGAAATTGTGCTTCTTGTTTTATTGTATGTTTTCCAGTGAGAATCGCAGAAGCAACAGGGTTGGGGGGAATGCAACAATGAAGCTTACAGTGGAGCTTGAGAGATGTTGCCTGAGGGGACAAAGAAATACACTTGTGAGACAAAAGAGGACTTTGCTAGTGCTTCTGTTCTGATCTCATTAGCCTCTGCAGGTGCTTTAAAGGACTTTTTTTAGACTTGCTAACTACTAAATGACTGCTTGCAATTGCAAACAGGTGCTCCCCCACAGCTTTTGCTCCTTTTACAGAATGTATGTGAAAATACGCTTTTGTAATTTTAGCTGTGATTGAATTAGAAAACTGTTCCCTAGTTCCCAGTGTGTCTCATTCAGTGTACACAGATACTTGACTACAATATTGACATTTTCAATTATGAGTAGTCTTTAAAAAAAAAATCAAAACCACAAAACCCCTTTTTTACAACTATTACTTTTTTTCAGGCAATAATAAATAGCACTATCACCCCCAACATGACATTTACTAAAACATCTCAGAAGTTTGGCCAGTGGGCAGACAGCAGGGCGAATACAGTGTATGGCTTGGGATTTTCATCTGAACATCACCTTTCAAAAGTAAGTATGACCAGTGGCAACTATTCAGCTAGTCAAGTGGCTTAAGAATATTTGATTCCTGCTTGTTGTATCTTGACTCAGTATTCACTACTGTTTTTATTTAAAAATAATCTACAAAAAACGTTCTGTATCGATCCTTATAATGTAAAAAGACAAAACAAAGTGTGATACCTGCAAATTTTCTTTTAACTGATGGAGTAAAGGAGGGAGATTTAAGCTATCACAGGGTATGTTGCTAACACTTTCTAACTATTCATTTGTTAGGTTTCTCTTTTTTTAAAGTTGTTCTTCCATTACAGTTTTCCATGATAGAATTCAAAGGAGTAGACAATTTAGTGTTTCTTCTGTATTTAGATCTCCTAGAAAAAAAATTGTTGGTAGTCTTCAGATGCATTTTTTGTCTCTTAAGCAACATTAATGTTCACTTTTCTACTATATAGTGCATCAAATGACAGATATTTCAATGCCTGCAGGCTTGAAGTAAAGCTAGTGGGAAATACATACAGTGTAAAAGAAAACTACATATTCTTGTGGAATACAAATGTTGAAATGTTTACTAAAGAAACTCTGTGCGATACGTGAGGTTTTTTTTCTGGTCTACTTGTGCAGGAGGGAAGTACCCCTTATTCTGAGGAAAGCAGTAACCCCTGTTTCTCAAAGTGATGGTATAGTTCCTCTGAGCGCCCTTTCTACAATACCTATTGCTATTGATACTGCTCTGGTAGATGAGTCCAGGAACCTGTACAAGCCAGTGTCATTTTTCTTTAGATGGAGAATTTCAGTTCAGTTTAAGAACATGTCTCTACATTAAGCAGAGAATTTTCATCTTTGAAGTACACAAAAAATCTGAAAACCCAAGTGCAATAAAAGGAATGTACAGTACTTGTTTAAATAAGGAATAATGGTTGGCTTGTTATTTAAAAAAAAAAAAAAAAATCATACCAGCCTTTTTGAGAAAATAATTGTCACTATCCAAGGATAAGCATGGGCCTGTTAGAAAACCATGAAAATGAGAACCAGTATATCTGCTTTATTTGGAAAAGTGTTACACTTGTAAGATTTCTTCCTTTCATAATCAGATAGCTTTCATTTCCATGAAGCAACACAAACACAGGAAATTCTGAATGATACTAATACTGCATGTGCATTTGTGCACCTATCATTGCTTCAGTGAACCTGGAAGTTTTGTCACTTACTTAAATTGGTGAGTATGTCCTAGAGGCACTTGCTTACCAACTGGTAATAACTTTTCTTAATATTTCAATGGATTTAGCATAAACGCTAATTTAGTTTACCTCTCTCGTAGAATAGCTTGTTTTCTTTAGTCACAGAATGCTTCTTTGGAGGCAAACTACCATGCTGTAGTCATGCACACTCTGTGTTTGCCTGACTTTAAACATTAGGCTATCCTTCCCAGTGAAAAAACTTTGGGTTTTTTATCTGTCCTATCCTTTACTCTTTTCTTGCTGTCCCCATGTGGTACTTACTGCCTTCTTAATTACAGTTGTTTCAATTCCATTCTTTCACTGCTCTCAAACGGATGTCTAAGAGTTTTAAGTACGCCCTTGGCTTAAAGCTTTATATTGCTGTTGAAAAAATAATCTGAAAAGCTACTGAAAAGTAGATATTTTGTCTTAAGTACGTGTTTGATTAGCAGTTACTCAGATTGCTGTGTTTTATGAAGAATACGCAAATGTGTTGAGAAAAATATGAAGTCACAGACCTTTTCTGAAGCTTATGGTGATGAATCTTCAGGACCTTTTCAGCAAACTGTTCCAGTTTTATTTTATCTTAATTATCAAACTGATACTCATGAGAGTTGAAATTGCTAATGGCTACTAAAATTCATAGAAGGTAAAACTTTTTGTGTTATTTTAAAATTAACAAACATATTTGGGAAAGGAAGCTTTTCTTTACATTACAGTCTGTTCAGTCACTGGAGTTGGTAGATATGTTGGAATCAGAAAAGCTGAATTAGAAACCCTGGATCTGCTGTGTAGCTTTAGAGAAATCACATGTATTCTCTTTCTTGTCTTGTCTCTCTGCTCAGATTACTAACTCTCACTTCTGTGCACTGGCATTGTAGTTGGGTTTACCAGAGCACTCTTTGGTACACTTAGCACTGTAGGATGTGAAATCTTATTTAGGGGTCAAGGTACTAGTGGATATTAGTAATAGGGCTAACAAATAAACTGTATTAACAGATTTGTTCAGAAACAGGTAGCTTAAAAATTGATTCTGGAACTTCTTCTCTGTATTGGATTTATCAAAGTCCTTAAGTGAACAGCCCTGTTGTATGTAATTTGTTTTGCAGTAGTGTCTCTGCACCCCAATGAAATATTTCAAGTTCCAAGGAGCAAAAGACAGCCTGCAACCACAAAAAACTTAGTCTAGTCTGTGGCTGATTTCAACAGGTTAATGAAGCAAATAATCAGAGCAGATAGAATGAACTATTTATTCTCAGATCATTGTCTGCTTAGATTATAGTAAATGTTTGACTTTTGGACTATTCATTTTTGGTTCATGTGCCTTTGTTCTCCCAATCTAATTACTAGGGTAGAGCGCAACAGTGGTAACTTCCTCCTGTACAATTATTGTGACTGAGAATTAGTGGAGTGAGAATATCTGATAGAAAACGCATGCTTTTAAATAACCTGACAGATGAAACATAGGATACAAGTGGAGAGAAATTAAACTTCCTCAAATACTAATAGCCTACCAGGAGAAGTAGTTTAAAGACAATAAAGTTTTTTAGGTCTTGCATAGCAAGTGAAGTTCTGATTGAAAATAGTTTAGGAGATTGTGTCACACAAAGGGTAGCCTTCGTCCCTTCTAAATACATGCAGTGCAAAACAATTTCTTTGTATGCTGCTGCTGGAGAGATTTAGAAGATGTTGGTGAAGCTTCCGAAGTTTTTGCAGAATCATTTCATTCTTAAGCTGATCATAATAAGATAATGTTCTGTTTAAAAGCAGTAGGAAACAAAAACAAATGCTTGGCTACTATAGCAATTAGTGTAGTGTCAAGCTGAGATCTATGAAGGCAAATTTTTCTCTTGCCAGAGAAACTAGATCCTATTCTTAATAAATTGATTTAATTTCTCAAGTTTAAGGGTGCATGTATTTCTAAATTGCTGCTTTAGCTGTTTTCTGGAAGAGGTACATGTAGCATAGAAATCAAGCTTCGTATGGCAGTTCAATGTGCAATTCTTGAATTTAGTGTTCAGTATATGGAAGTGTTTAGTTCAATGAATTTGTTCTTTAACTTGACTGGTGTCAATGAAGAATCAAGAAATGAACTTGACTCAATATTCCCACTGCTGCTTTCCTAATTAGCTATTGAAATTATAAATGCTGTTAAAATTTGGGAAGAAATCAGTATTGTTTCAGTCATGAAAGAATAAAGCCCACTGAAAGCTCTAGGCTAATAGTGACCACAGTAGGCTTCAGAACCAGATCGTTTGTTGTCAGGAGGAGCGTAAAACCTGAATCTGAAAGCAGCTGTGTAAGGCAGCTTGTCACTATTATTAGCCATCTCTGAGGTGAGTTTTTTTAACACTATCAGTAACAGATCAAACTTTGTTGCATCATAATTTTCCTGACATAAAAACAGTGTACATTATGTCTGAAAGGTACTGAAAGATATATCACTGTGTAACTCACTTAAATGAGTACCTAATAAGGAGAAAAATTTAAAAATTCTACTGACAGAATTTGACTTTGCAAAATGTTAAATACAGCATTCTGTTCTGCATGTAATGTACGACTTCACGCCTACTCTTTTTCTTTTTTTTTTAAACATATGTACCTTCAGTTTGCTGAAAAATTTCAGGAATTCAAAGAAGCTGCACGACTAGCAAAGGAAAAATCCCAAGAAAAGATGGAGCTAACAAGTACACCCTCTCAAGTGAGTCTTATTGCCTGATTCAAGCCTAGTACTTCATATCTGTGCTACTTTCTGTATTGTATCTTACACACACGTTGTATTAAAAATGAACGGGGTACTTCCCAGTTACCCTGAATCCTCTCAACGGTCAGCTAGAAGTGTCAAGAAGTCTAAGAATATATTTAACTTACACTACAGAAGTGTCAAAGGGAATTGCTTTAAAATGAAATTGGCCTTTTGTTCCAGAAAATGAGTAAACATGGTGAACAGTTAGGTAAGTAAATCTATAGTAAACACCTTTTGTGTTTTTTCTTATTGTATCTATGAAACTTCAGGTGGTGCACTGTAAAGGACTTTTATAGAAGAATGATTACAACAAAAATCAAAGTTAAAACAGCAGACTATTTTTACTTATTTCCTACTGTGTAGTATTCACTTGTGAAATGTGTTGAAGGAAGATGACAGATTCACATGTTGGTTCTGGAGTTCTATTACAGTTAGCCATGATGTAAAAGAAGAGTTTATAAAAGGTATCTCAAACCATGAGCTGGGTTAATATAGGCCTAACAGGAGGATGAATTAATATAGTCACATTTACATTAGTCATGCTAAAATTAATTCACTTGAAAACGAATACTTCGAATTTGCTTTGGAAAAAGAAATTGCACGAGGCTTTTATGCCCCTCCGCTCCCACCTGCCCCGCCCAGTGTTTCTGGCTTGGTGTGTAGCTATTTGCTTTGTTTTAAGCAATAGTGAAGACAAAGGTAATTCCTTCTCTTGGAGGATGAAGCAGCTTTAAAACTAGAGCAGGAGTTTCCGAGTTGAGTAGGATTAATGCAGCTGAGTCTTTTTCCTGGGGAGTCTTCATTCATTGAATCAGTGCATCACTTGGGTGCTTTGCACTGTAATATGCTCCTGATCTTTATGATGGAACAAGGATGGCAGGCAGTTTGAGACATGCTGTACAAATAGTTTTATTGCCACTAGAAAGCTACATCTGGTGTCCTTCCAAGAGAAGTCAGTGGAAACCACAAGAATACACACAATGAACCAACCTCGTGTTGTTTTCCAGTAGGCATTTCGCCCAAGTGCTAGGTTGGCTTTTGCTATTAATGGGAAACTGCTTGCTCTACTATAACAGGAGAAAAATAAGACAATCTTTTTTTATTAGTTTCCTTGACTGTCTCTAAATTTCTGATAAATCCCGTAAATAAACACAGAGATACTGGAAGTAGAGATTTCAATATTATAACCCAGTATACACTTGGCTTTAGAAACAGTGAAGTGCTTCAGCCAGGCCTCTAGTTACTCGATATTATAGGCAAAACAATTACTCTGCTTCTCTTTTGACACATGATTAATAGTCTGGACTCAGAACTTAAATCTGACACTGTCGAATGGAGTGACTTATTATTTGGTTTGGACATAAACTTGAACTACTCACTCAGAGACAAGATGGTTTTGTCTAGTGGCTGCCCAGGGTTAAAGCTTTTTGTTAAACTATATGAGCTATTAATATTGTTCATTTTCCTGTACAGATTTCCTTTTATACTTGGAACCTAAGGTTTTATACGGAAGGCAGTTACGAAAATGTTACCTTGAGCGATTCTATAATGCATGTTGAAAGCTGCAATTTAATTGTTGCACATTTAGGAATAATTTCATATTCAGGACATACTTTTCATCTCTTGGCTTTTCGCTATGTTGATAAGTTAGCATATTATTCTGAAAGATACAGTTAGTGCAAGTGCTGACACATCAGCATAACAGTCTTCACATACATAATGCTTCTCATTAGTTCCCCAGAGAGAAGGGAGTTGAATCAGGAACTTCGGCGTTTGGAGCAGACAAGAAGCGATGGCTTCATGGCAAACTGCAGCACTTCCACGGCACTGGAGTTCATTCAGAGAGATTTATGAATGGGGGGAAGATGAGTGCTTGGTAGTGGGGAGGGAAGGTGGGACCCTAGAGGCATTTGAAGGAGCACTTGCTGTCATTTTGATCATCTGCCAAAAAGTGGCTGCGAGGCAAATTGTTCAAGTGTCGCCTTTCTCAATCATTTTACAGCTCTTCTTTCCTTTTGCATAGTGAACCTTTGCAGAGAAGGAGGGTAAAAGAGGAAGCAGATATTTGCAGTGGCCAGTCAAGACTTTGCAGGAACCTGGCTTTTTTAGGAAGCTTTGACAGGAAAGGCATTGGAGGTAGCGTGTGAGTGGTGAGCTCTATAATGGTAACCCAGTTAGCTACAAGTGTCAATCTCTCTGCTGTCTTGGACTTGCAGATATCCTTCTGCATTAAATTAATAATAGGTAGGAAGAAACTGCATATCAAAACTGAAAAATATACATGTCAAACTTAAATAAAATGTTACATTTCTCTTGGTACCGCTTTAAAAAAATGCCCTTATTATTTAGCAGTTAATTAAAGTACCAGATACGGTACATTGCCCACCCTCTCTGCTACACAATTCTAAAAGAGAAAAAGTACATGTGCTTTTTTCTGCATCCAGTATGTCCCTACAGATTGAGTCTTTATTGAAATATCTCTACAACTAGTGTAACAAAACCTTGCACAAGGTATTTGCTGTTCACTAATTGTTTGATTAATCCTACAAATACTACTGGTATGTGTGAGTTTCAATTCTGAATGTCCTGCAAAAACTTGTTGTGAAACTAAAGAGAAGTAGAAAACAAGAGATAACAACAGAAATATCTCAGAAATAGAATATGTGTTTGTAGTTCAAGAACTTACCAGAATAAGCCATGTTAAAACTTAAGAACAATCTTATCTAAAATCCTCTGAAGTTAGGCTGCTTCTCTAAGGTGTTATGAGCTTTAGCAAAGTGTTGGTACTATTTGGTTAGATATTTTCACCAGAAAAGTGCCTCAATGGCCAGGAAGTAGTAGTTCAGTGTTCAGTATTTTTTGGATATACTGTTTCATCTGATGGCATGTATTCCTCAGCGTGTGTGTGTGTGTGAAATGTAGTAGAAAAAAACCAATACATAGCCCAATTTGCAATTACTTAATAGCAGGAGTTCCTTTTCCCCTAAGCTATGCTGCTGCTAATTTTAAACTCTGCATTCTTACTGTTTCTTTAATACTGCCTATTCTCCTCCTATTTGCCAGCAGGCTTTGCTTTATTTTCCCAGAATATCAGATAATGTATAAAATCACTATTTACCTTGACTGTAAAAAGAACTTAACTTGTCCAGAGAAAGACAGTGGCCTGGACCAACAAATTACAAGAGAGATGCTGCTTTATTATATGTAAGTCCCACCAAGTGCACGGGGTTTTCTTGAAATAAAGAGGAAAGCATTGTTTCTGTGTCAGAGAACTTGTACTTTCGACCCATCTGTATTAAGATGGATTCATATAATAATACACACTTTATCTATATCTGGTACATCTGGAGGCTTCGGTCTAGAAAGAAGTTGTCTATTTTGGTACTTCTAAGACCACCTATGCACATAGGTACCCCATCTGGTGTCCCTTTAACTTAGCCTTAAGTAATAAAGCTTTGCAATGCTCTTGTTTATATAAAACTAAAATACTGGCTCCCCTGCTGTCCCACCTGCTATTTCCCAGACCCGTCTTTTAATATAGGGAATTATTTTTCTCATGTCATAAACTCATGGATCTTACAGTCACAAGCGACCCATGGTCTATTTTCAGTTACAGGCTTGCCTGTGCACTGAAAGAGCAACGCTTTGATGTGGAGTTCACTGAGCCACATGAAGCAATAGCCTGAAAGCTGTCCTCCCCCCGCCCCCTTTTTTTTTTCTTTTTTAAACTAACCTTAATTAGGTTCAAGTACAGAACCAAACAGAGCAGTTTGTGTGGTTTGCAGTCTCACCGCATCAGTCTTACAACCAGCTGGAGTCTGAACTTCAGTTCTTTTTCTCAGGTATTTCTTTTGACCCCGGTTATTTCAGATTAAGACCTCTGTTAATTTCTGAAATTGTGTGGTGAGTAATTTACTCAAAATGTCTTGTCTGTGATTCTGAGCCCTTCCTATGCAGACTATTAGGAATAGCTATTGCCTGAAAAGTTTTAGGATCACAACATTTTTTAGTGCAAGGAATGGATTGGTTTTGGCACAATGGTCGTGGTTTATCACCTGTTGGCTTTTTCTTTGTAGAAGGACAAAATTTTCTTAAAAAGCTTGTGGAAAAAGTAACTTTCTGGGATGTTATGGGAATTTCTGTACTGAAACAAATGTTTCGCCTGTATTACAGTATCTGAATCAGTAGCTGGCAGACTTATCCCATTGCCAGTCAGTACTGAACAGAGAAGCACTATGAGGACCAGCAATGCCAGGGAAGTGTATGGAATACTTAATGAGAAAACAGTATAATACTTAGTAAGAAAAGAAGCTGTAATTGATTTGGTTTGTTCATGATTTTAGAACCTACTCCTCCTTTTCTTCTGTTCTGTATTTAGACACCATTAAAAGGTGGCTTGATCTGTGCTGTGAAGTCTGCTTGTTTTACTTTAAAGAGTCTTTCGTGAGTGCATGCATTCTGTTGATAAGGTTTTGAAATTTAAGGCATTTTTTTGATGAATTTCCCTCTGTTATGTTTAGTTTATATACTGTAGGCACTGTCATTTTTATACTGCTTGGCATCATCGGAGCCCTGCGTGCTCATTAGTAGGGCTCCTTTAGACAGTGCAGATCTCTGACGAACTGTTAAATAGCAAAATGTAGCTGAGTCAGACTCTCACATTCACTTTTCATGTAGAAAAATACTAATCCTCAGTCCATGCGTAAGTCCAGGACTGATGAGTGAATTAAAGTTCAATATCCTCCACAAACCTATATATGATACAATAGTGCTTTTATACCACATGAGAGCTATTAATCCTTTCTTCTCAAATGCATGAAATACCTATTTGTAGCTATCATGAGTGGGAAATATCAGGCCTTAAAATATATCATTGATTTACAGGAAGAACTTGTCATTTTCAATTTAAGCACTGTTTTTTCCATAGAGCATCTATACAGTTGAATGTTAGAACT